TAAATCAGGCCCTAAAGACTTCATTTTAAGGACTCCTGGTTTGCAACTGATTCGTTTCTTAAGCATGTTAAAAACAGAAGTAGCCTATCACTGTATTTTTATGTTGTCTTCTCATTAACTCTATCTGGCTTCTGTGGTTTAGTTCAAAATAATCGGGTTCTTCGTCCCTGGTGCTGGGCGGACGCCCTATCACAGCAGCGCCAGGCTGGCCTGTGTGGGAACCAGCCTTCAGACTGGGAGCACCTTGGGTGCAGGTGGGGTCTTGCTGCAGCCCCAGCAGGGCACTTGGTCCATGGTGGGTTCTCGATGAACTGGGCTGAGCTGTAACTCAGGAATTAGAGTTAGAACACAGAGCTGCCTTCAGCTGCCCAGCTCAAGATGGTCCTGCAGGGCCACGCAAGCTTTTCAAGCTATACCAAGCATGTGTCTCTGGCAAGATGGGCCTATGTGTGCCCCATGCCCTTCTGTGCCCCCTTCAAATGCTTCTTCTTGGGCCTAACATCAAAAGGGGGACATGGTTGGTGACTGCAGAATCAGCACCAAGATCAAGGGGGCTGGCTGGGTGTCTTCTCATGGGTCCACAGGTGGATCCCAAAGAGGCCAGTGCCTGGCACGATGGAAGAAAATAGGCCCACAGGAAGGCACGCCAGAGCATCGCAGAGCACGGTTGCGGAGACCTGCTCTGGTCGCCCTGGCTGTTTGCACATCACCCCCCGCAGTGGTGTAAGGCAACGACAACCAACACTTACTTGCTCCGCATTTTGAGCGCACTCAGGCTCAGGGGCAACTTGTCTTTGCTCCTCTGCACATCACTGGGGCAGCTGGAAGCGTCTGGAAGCCTGCTCGCTCTTGTTCGCTGGGACCCAACGGTCAGCATCCCGAGAGGAAGGGCCAGTGGAAGCTGTCCACCTTTGGCCTTAAATTATGCCACCCCGCCCTGCAGCCACTGCATCCTGCTCTTATTCTGATGGCAACGCAGTAGCAAAACTTCCCCCAGTTGCAAAAGAAGGGGACTGCTCAGTGGACAAGCCCGAGAGGAGCACATGAGACTGGAGACACTGCTGTGGCCACTGTGGAAAACAGAGCTGCCACAAGACCCCAGCGCTCAGAGGGCGAACATTCTGCCCAGCGCCAGGAACGGAAGGGCTTTAGAAGCACAATGGCATGATGGAGGCAATGAAGCAACTCCTCAAATTCTGGATAAGAGTTATTTCCAAACCCTATTTTTTGTTCAGCTTTTGGACTTCTGGTGCAGAGAGCCTGTGATGTGTTCCGCCCCGATTTGGACACACCACTTAACTTTTGCCTGGCTTGACCTCCCTCCCAGGAGCCCACCCTGGGACTGGGCCTTCAGACACACAGATGCGTCCTTGAGAGCCAGTGCCTGTGCACTTCTCACTCACCTGAGTGTGAGGAGGCAGAGATCTGGTGCTTCTTTCCTCCTCAACCAAAACCTACCTTAAGATAATCATTTTGTGGCCCCACATCTTTTTCAGGTGCAGAAAGTCACAAGAACACTATATGCACCCTGATGAGAAAAAGTGTATGATCTGCAAAATCTTAACTCTTCTTGGGCTCAGAGAGCTAGGGTGGTAAGGCCACCAGGTGACTGGATTCTCAAGAGGGACAAGCCCCTCTGGGGCAGAGAGGACATGGCCTGGTCCCCCTCCGGCAGAGCACGGGAGAAGAAGACAGGCTAGACATGATGGGTTCAACCTCCTGGGAACCAGGGTTCACTCACACGAGTGTAGGGAGCAGGCCAGGGACTGGAGAGATGCCCGGGGGGTGCGCAGACATTCCTACCCACTGCCCCCAACCCATGCCTCATGTGAAGCAAAAGGCTTAATCCACCAAGGAAGTAACAAACCCAACCCCCAGACTACTTCTGGGGGAGGCACAGAAAACCTTTCACACCCAGGACCCTGCCATGACCCCAGGCACACTCCTGCCCAAGACTGTACCCAGATGTAAGGCAGCTTAGCAGCAGAGGGCAGGATCACTGAGAACTACAACTGAGGCTGGACCAGCTGAACAGCCAGCCTCCACCTCAAGCCTCACTGGGTCTTATGCAAGAGCAAACAGACCCCTGTGCAGCCCAGGTGTGCAGAGCTTGTTGTAAGATGGAGTTGGGGCAGAAACACCGAGGAAAACGAGAAGGAAAACCCTCTGGCTGGAGGCATCTGACAGTAATTAAAGCCATGACAAACCTAAAGCCAGCACATTGGCTCAACAGACTGACTCAGCCCCACACCAAAGCCTGCCAGAGGGGTGTCCCCATTTCTGGGCATCAGGACTATCTATCCTGTTCTGTACTGTTCTACAAAAAATTATCCAGCTCAATCACAACTTATGAGACACACAACAAAGAAAAAACAACCCACTGTTAAGAGATAAAGCAGACATCAGAACTAGATCCAAGAATGCCCACCTGCCCTGTCATCTAGCTGGCAGCATCCAGCTGCTGCATGGTCTCCTGAGCAGCACGCGGCCACACGCACTCCTCCATTCCCTGGCATGGACACCCAGGGTGCTCCTGCAGCTCTGATACCTCAAACAATGCTATGTGAAATTCCCTGTAGTGATCAGAATTCCCTGGATGAGACTGTAGGGCTGGAGTGTGGACTCCACTCCCTGAAGTACTATTACAAAGACTCACTGTGGCTGTCCACAGCACCAGCTTCCCATTCCCACACAGCCACTGGTGGCACCCAGCTTCCCATTTCTGCTAAGCTCAGTGCCAGCCTTAGCCTCCATCACTGTAGTACTTCTTGGGCTTGTAACTTGGGTTTTCTTTCCAATGAACTGCCTGCATATTAATGTCCTCTGTCATTTTTTTCTTGATTTCCCATCTTTTTCTTGTTGATTAGAGGAATTCAGGAATTCCTCTAATCCTAAGTATTATCTCCTTGTCAGCTGTAGATGTTGAAAGAAAGAGAAGACAATACTTTTCTCAGATTGTCAGCTGTTAATAGTCCATGGTGTTCTTCACTGAACTGAAGTCCCTCCTTTGGATTTTGCCAAATGCACCAATGTTTTGTCCTATCATTTATGTCCCTGGGGTCATACAAGGTCTTCTTCACCATAAGGTAACAAAAACAAGCTCCCACATTATCTTCTTCTGCCTTCAGTGTTGTTGGCCCCCACCCCCAGCATCCCTGACGTCTACTCGTGCCTTTTCCGTGCCTCTCTGACATGTGCCTATCAAAGCCAACAATCACCTCCTGGGGGCCAGTCTGGTGGTCCGCACACACTCAGCTCCTCCTCCTCTGACAGACACTCCTCACCGGCTCCTCCGGCCCCGCCACCCGAGCACTTCCCAGCCCCACTGGCTGGCCCTCTATGACCGAGCTCTGGTTCACCGTAAAGGGTCTCACACCTTACATTTGACTTGGATCATTTTGTTAATATTGGAGAAAACGGAGTTAACAAAGCAAAACACTTAAATATATACCTCATTTTTTTCTACAAGCTATTTTCTAAAAATGTCTAAGCACCTACAGCCTTCAACATCATTAAAATGCTCCTTTTCAAACATGCTGGGATAAAAGAACTCCTGTTTAAAGCCACTACTGGCTTTTGAAGGCTTAAGTCTTGGATTCATTTAAATAATGGTATTTTTTTTAAATGGAGACATCCGTGCAAGACAATGCCTTCAAAATACTATTTGTAGGTAAAATTCTTACTGAATTATTCAGTTAAGCAGCACTAACTAGCCTTTTGAAGGCTAGCAAGGGTACAGCTGGAGAAGACTTGCTGAGATGAGTCGGTTCTGCACCCCTCTCTGAGAGGCTGGCCCTGGGCTGGAGGGTGGGGCTTAGTGTGATCAGCAGTTTTCAGAGAGCTAGCCCTAGGACTGTAAGCCCACCTCCTAGACCAGCATTTGTTTCCTTGTTCTGTGTGCTTAGACACCATAGCTCTTGAGTTTGCAAATTTTAGTTTAAAAATGGTATGGAGATCTTAGGTCTTAGCAAAAATAAAGAGGATCTAATTGTAAAAGGGCAAAAATAATTTATGCTAATAACTTCTTAGAGTGTATATAGCACAGCACATGGGCTCGACATAGGATACATTACTTAGGACATCTGGTAACACAAAAAAATGCAAAACACCATTAATCCAAACATATTTCTTATTTTCAGGATTTGCTAGATTACTTATTTACTTGTCCCTAGGTAGATGGATATTTATTTTATTAGTCATAAATATTATTTTTGAGCTGGAACAAACCTTATAAACCAACTTCTTCCTTTTACAAAGGAAGCCTTTGAAGCCTAAAGTAGTCAAGGGCTGACCAAGTCTGGTTAATTTTCATGTTTTAGTTAAAAAGCAGCTTGTGGTGACATGAGCTTCAGAAAATAAAAGATTCATAAATCATGTTTCTACTTTTAAAGTTTTTGCTTTGATAAATAAATTGCTTCACAAGTGTCTACCCTCTCACCTCTGACCTGAAACATTATACTTTATTGCTGTCATTCCTAATCTCCAGCAAGTTTCACAATTTTAGATGCACTCTTTAAAAATATTGATGTCTGCTGACTAACTTCAGCTTCAAAACATAAGTAGTTTGGGGAAGTTAAAACACACTTGATCACAAAGTAAAAAACTCTGAGAAACTGTTTAATGCACCTCACCTCTTCAGTATGTTCAGGCACTGCCTTCGCATATAACTCTACAGCACGGACTATGAAAGGCAATACTTCACTAATGAATCATTTTCTTCTCATTACTATCAAAATAATAGATTTATGATAAACTAGAAAATAAGAAACAAACAAAAAGTTTCCAGTTTTTTCCTGGAAAACTAACTGGCATAGTTAACTTACGTTCTTGAGAATGAAGTATACCCGAGTGTCCCAATGCACTGCAATGCTGATTTTTAAAATGCACAGGTGTCACTATGACCCCAAGTGTCACCAGCCAAACCTGTCAACAATCTGGATGTTTTATTTAAAAAGCAGTTTGTGGTGACATGAGCTCTAGAAAATAAAAGATCCATAAAGTATGTTTCTATTTTTAATGTTCTTGCTTTGATAAATCAATTGCTTCACAAAGATCCCTTTTAAAGACAACAATCCAAGAAAACATATTATTACAGTATTCACATTTTAAAGATTGTCAGTTCATAGGCAAACCATAACTAAACAGAGGAAGATTGCTGAGTGATTTCTGTCACTAACTGCCAGAGGCGGGCCTTTCACACCTTTCAGGTTATGTTTGAATTTATCTTCAGAAAAAAGTGCTCCAAAGCCTTTTCACATAGGTAAAAGTCAGACCTCCTGAGAGGTCACACAGAAACGACTCGTGGAGCTCTTAGGTATAAGGTGGGTGTTGGCAACATTGCTCTGTGGTCTGCGAGCAAGGGGTGCCACCACCCACTTTACATACTGGATGAAGACCTATTTCACTATCTGGGATCAAAAAACTGAAGGTGGAGCTAGTCTATCAGCTGGAGCTTGTCTGGGGCAGGGCAAAGCCAGTCCAGCTATCTGCTCAACAGCTGAGTAGTAGGGAAAACAACATGCTTAATTTGGGTCTCTGAACACATTCAAAGCATCCTTCATAAGGAAAGAGTTTAACAAGAGCAAAGTCAGGACTGAATCTGCTCACTGAAAAGGAAAGCTCCATGGGCCATGTGTTCACAGATTCTCTTGAAGGTCCCAGGGCTGGGAAACAGGTGTTTATAGGGCATAAACCGACAGCAGCCATGCTGGGCAGCGTGAGATGAGCGAGCTCAGCTCGCCTTGTCAGGGTGTTTAAAAGCACCTTCGTTATTTACGGGAAGAGGCTGAAGGAGCCTCAGGTTATGTCATAAGAGCCCCTCTCTGGATTTTATCCTAGACCACTGAAGGTAGTAAGAATCTAGGGCTTAGAAAACTGTCTTCAGCTGGAGGGAGTGTACCCCTGACACAGGCACGGAGGCTGAATCTCAGGCTGGCATGGATGGGGGCACCCACTGACATGGCCTGTGCTGCCCTCAACTGCAAATCTCCTGTGCTAGTGAACATGACTTTCCGTGGGGGAGGAGACGGTGACCCGGATGCAAGTCCACACTCCGAATGTTTCCACTGGCCTAAAGAGCAGATGGCTGAAAGGGACAGGGGCACAGGCAGGAGAGAAGGAAGAGGCTGGCTGCTTTCCACAGGTCCGGGTTTAACAAGTCCAACAGTCAGAACTGAATAAAGTAATCTTTTAGAATTGTGTGGACTTGACTTAAAATATTAAAAACTGTTTATAAATAAGGAATGCAGTAGCTGCATAAAAATATTACTCTCTCCCCAAAAGAACTGATAGTCAAGTTTTACTTTTAAAACTCCTGAAACACTTTAAAGAATTTCTCTGTATTTCTTGACTATTGTAACTTATCTAGGAAGTACTTTCCTATGATTGACTTTAAGTACTACATTTTTTGGGGAAAAGTCAGTTCCAGAAAAAAATCTGTATGAGCTCAAAATATCCCTCAATGTAACCTTCGTCCAAAACCAACTACTATCACTGAATCTCAAGAACAGATGGTCTTCCTGACCATACAATTATCCTTTAGAAACATGCTGAACGTTGGGCATCCTAATTAGGATCATATAAAGCTTCTATGGAATAGGTGGCCTGTTTTCTCTCTGAAGAAGAGCTCCACTGCCAAGAAAACAAATCAAAACCAAAGTAAACCCCAGTCTGCTCTTTTGGTTTGTCTTATCACCAGGAAACAGAAGTCCTAAAATTATCCCAGATCTCATATGATCAAGTCAGAGGGGAGGGCTCCGGGATTTCCAAAGCAGCAAAGTGTAAGGAACAACCCCGAGGCTGGGGCCAGGCGGAAGTGCGCGAGCCAGAGGCAGGCAGCTGCCGGCCCTCCTGCCTCACTGCAGGCCCCCTTTGTCAGTCAACACCTGCTCATTGCATAACCATGCTCAGCGCTCAGCGGCTCTGAGCTAGAGGACAGAGGACATTTTATATCAATTTATAATAAACATTCTGTGCATGACATATGACTGATATATTCTAAAACAATACACAGCTAACATGGTATAGTAACCATTTAACTGCAGTCAAATTTAAGTTAGACTGAAATGTGTACGGTTAGAGCTTTTAACTGACTACTGGCAACCATTTCACTTACTTATCTAAGTCCTAGTTAGCAAATACCTTTAGGTATATGTTTACATCAAGTGTAAATCGCAATCTGAGCACTTTTACATATTCTAAAATTTGAAGATATCAAAATTTCATTAAATAGTTGTGACTTTTATAGTAGTAAATGTAAATTATTATCCTGGGATAGCAGAGAACCATGGAATGCTAGCTAACTTCGGGCAGGTTCATTAAATTTGGTCAATTCAGAATATTCCAAATTGAAATAGTAAGCATGTATTGTTTCTCCTCTAGAAATTTTATCCCCAATATAGTCATAATCCAATTCATAACGAATTTATAAAAATAGCTTTTTATCCAATAATTCCAGCAAGGTAAAAATAGGAGTTTCTTTTCTGTATAGCACATAAAACAGGCTCACTAAATGTGAGAGAGAGAAGCACACTGTAATTGCCGTACACCCACCACCACGCCATGCTTGGCACACCATGTGCCATTGTCCACCTCGCACTGGTGGGGTTAAGGTGCAGAAGCTTCTTCCAAATCTTCATGGGCTGCACAATAAGTCAGCCCACTGAGACCTGCCTGAACCACAGAACTAAATTAAAACCGCACAATTTTTTAGAAACGGCAGCACTATTCCTTAATCAAATTAGGGGCTCATGGGGGTGTTTATCATTCATCATATTTTTAGCGTTAAACCTTTAAAGAATTTCCTTAAAAACCACACGCACGTGCACATACACACACACACGCGCACACACACACACACACACACACACTTGGAAGAGGCTGCTGCGCAAAGGCGCCCTTGAAGCTTACTGTGAAATACAAAAGTGCACTCCTCTATATCTACATATAAAACAGACAGAAATAAAACTGTGTAAAACGTTTGCTGTGCAAACTGTACAAAGTCAGGCCAGCTGGACCCTGGGTCCTGGCGAGCTCGAGCCCCTACTGCAGGGAATCACTGTTCTCCAGGACCAGCCCGCTGATGTGGGTGGGGGCGAGCGCAGCCCCACCGTCCCCCGTGCTGTCCACAGACTCATCCTCGCTCTGCTCCGCCATCATGACCTGCTGCACTGCGAGGGTGGCCCCGTCTGAGGACAGAGACTGCAGGCTGTCCACATTCATGCTCACAGGTGTGGTGATGGTCACAACAGCTCCTGCAACAGAACGTGAGTTGTCACTATTAAAATTAGTGTTCACAGAGGAAAACATTTTATCACTCAGCTGGATGCTGTTTGCTTCTCTGACCTCCGCATATGTTTCTGCAATGCTCAGTGGGGATGAAGTAAACTGTTCAGAGCCAGCCTCAGACCTTGCGTAGCTAACAAGCTCTCAGTTGACAGAAGGTCAGGACTACAGAGAACATAGATGCCCAGGGTGGAAAGTGAGTGCAGTAGGACAGCAAAACAGACCAAAGAACAGGGAGAAACACTAGGAGATGAATATAAACGGGGAAACAAAAAAGGAGGTCAGAGCAAGGAAGACCAGCATGAAAGGGGGAAAAGTCTGGAGACATGCTACTCCCTGTCTTGCAGCATAAGAATCGAGAGGGAGACCGGTGAGCCCCCGTGAGCAGTGCGGTGCCCCGGTTCTCTTACAGACCATACAGGGGTTCTCCCGCGCTCATCTGTGAAAACCTCCAGGTGTATTAACAAGTGAGGAAAGCAAGAGGAGACAGCATTCCACACATTAGTACTTGGGGAAAATACTAAAGAGATTCATCCACGCATTCTTATCTGAAGAGTGTCACAGCGTATATGCCCTGGGAACACACACAGGGACTGTTACACGAATGGCCTGGAGGGGATCAGAGGCCAGGATAGAGGAAAATCCACTTCCACTGCTGGTCTTGTTTGAACTGCTTCCCCAGCAGATAGGCATTGCTTTTTGGAGGGGAGGGCAAGGAGGGAGAGAGAAAGCAATACCTTTCTAACTAATTCTTGGATTAAAAGAGAAAACAAAAACTAAAAAATATAAATTATTTAAATATGAATATAAGACCATATATCATATCAAAACTCAAATGATTAAGCCAAAACTTTAAGTGCACCTACCACAACTCAAGAGAGTTTAAAGTGGAAACAAAATGGGTATGATTTGCAGCCCACTGTGAGGGCGGTCCCAACCGCAGGGTTGCACAGCAGCGGCACTCAGCCAGGGTCAGCACACAGAGCAGGACATGGGCACGGTGGGGGAGACTATGGACCCTCACACAGCCAGACTGGAGACCCCCAAAAGGCTCTGGGGATCACCCAAGGCCCTGCCTCAATGATGGGGGATGATCAGCCCAGGGCTGAGTGCTGTGGAACCTCCCAACAAGAACCAGTCCCAGAAGCAAGGCCTGAGAGGATCGGGCCATCCCAGGTAACCTCGCTGCTCAGGCAGAGCACAGAGGACTCGCAGCACTGCAGGAACAGCAGCCCCGACGGGCAGAGTCCACCTGCTCAAAGCTGAGCAGGCCAGCCAACAGGCAGGAAAATAGTCCACAGTGAGGTCCAACCAACCCGAAAGCGAGAGACGTTAGAATTGGCAGAGAAGGATAGCAGCACATCCTCTGTGACTGTATTCTGTGTGTTCAAAACTTAAGGAAACCCAAAAAGGATATAAAAAGTTCACATATAACTTCTAGAGATGAAAACTACAATGTCTAACATGAAAAACACACTGGGTGGGATTAGCAGCAGATTAAACATTTCAGAAGAAAAAACTCATGAAGCTGAAGGATAAAAATAGAAGCTACTAGGAATGAAACCCAGAAAAAGAACAGTCCAACATGCTGAAAAGAGCACCAGTAACTGCAGCTTTTCAGGACTTCTTAACTTGTGAGCAGCTCGTGTCCCTGAGGGACCAGTGGGAGGGAGGGAAAGGCAGCCACCAGAAAATACATTTGAAGCAGTGACGGCCCCAGACGTTCTCACACGTGACCATGACCACAGCCTGCTGAGCAAACACAGTGAGGAGAATGAGGGAGGGAGGCGGCGGTGACACCCTCCCAGGTGTGTGCACAGAGTGACCTGAAGCTCGGAAAACCCACGGAAACAGAAGGATGCCCTTCAACACATTACCCTGGTAGCCTGTGGCCGTGGGGACCGAGGAGGGAGAAACGCCAGGGGGTGGGAACACCACAGTCCCACCCTTGGCACCCAAGGCTGAGAGGAAATAAAAACAAAAACAGAAAAACCAGGGTGGACTGTATGGCCAGCATGGGCCTCTGAGACATGGCAACGGTTCACATATGTGGTGCACATGCGGATTCCCATGTCTCCAGAGCTGGCGCTCTGTAACATGCGTCTGCAGCTCCTGACAAGTGTGCCCCAGGAAGCGGTCAGGGTAATGCCTTCCGCACATTTTAGGTGCAAAAAAAGACAACTGAGCACACCTTGCCTGTGGCCTAAAATTCACAGGGAACAAGGGTCACTGTACCCCACATCTCACCACCCCGCCCACCATCCTGCCACTAACCCACGGCCGCTCGTACCTTCCGACATGGTGAGCTCACTTGGTGCTGGTGGGGCAGCTCCAGATGCAATGGAGTCGGGCCAAAATCTCTGAACTGGCCTGTTCTGGGCAGTTTTTTTCTTTGTTTTTGGAGTTTCTGAACAACTAGAATCCAACATCGGTTGAAGAATCCGTCTTCTGGCATTGATGAACCTAAACATTGATGTCAACAAAGGGAAAACTTTCATCAAAATGGCCTTAAAGACCTCCTAAAGTGCAACAAGGGCGCCTTCCGAGCTGGCCACTTTACCGACCAGCCATGCCAGCAGCCAGCAGTAACTCCTGCTCTGGTATAATATGCCAGTGTAATGACGGGCACGTGATCTAAATGTCCAGAAGAATGGTGTATGTGGTTTTAAAATGGTTCCTTTGAATAAAGACCATCCCTCTCATGTCACTTTTTCTCACTGCACCTGATTTTTTCCACATTTTTGAGTCTGATGTTCACTATGACCCTGAGTATTCCATCAGTGACATGATTTGAAATCCCTTCCTCTAAGGGAGAGAAAGGCCAGGGCAGCAGACCCACACGCCCCACAGTCTCACTGTGTCCCAGACCTGCTGCAGCCAGGCCAAGGGGACAGCGCCGTGGGACTGCAGTGTGAGCTGCCGATCAGAGCATGGGTCTGAGGGACGAGTTTCATCTTTCAGAAGACTATTATTACCAGTGATGAGCTATTTCTTAGAATGACCAAGTCCTAAGTCACCAATGGCCTAGCCAAACAGCCAAGACAATGATAAAGTCCCCAAATGGCTCAGTGACAAAACCCCACACGACTTCTGCTGCCTGGAGACCAAGTACTCACTTCGGTGACTTGAGCCCACATCCAAAGAGAGCAGCAAAATTGCAGCAGTCGGCAAGTGAGGCAGGACACAGTTTCACATAAATAAACCAGTAGTGATTTTGAAATATGTGAAAGGACTGCTGTCTTCAGTCTCCACGCCTCCCAGAACCCAAGTGGTTGCCTTCAACTGAGGAAGAGCAGGGGAGCCCAGGTCCACTCCTCCCGGGGTCTCAGAGTACCCAGAGAATGCCCTGATGTGCATGCCCTCGGGGCCTGTCAGTCTACACCGCTAAGCCACGTGCCTATCACGTGACCTGCAAAGGGAGAAAAACAAAAGACCCCGCACACAACATCAACCACACCATGAGCTGTTCAGACCCACACGTTACTCCTGACCCATACACAGACGGCTTTCCACCAGCCTACGCAACTACTTCTGTCTCCTTCCTCAGTAGTATGAGTGACAAGGCGGTTAACCACCTGCTAGAGTCACACGTGCTGATCTATTAAAGAGTGGACCTTAGTGGACAGCCAAGTAGCTGCCTACGGGGGCAGCCGAAATAAAAGCACTGCATTACTCAGATTCTCTCTGGTTCTGCAGTATGTGACAGCTTCTTTCTCTTAATGCCCAAATATGCGAAAAGACAGAACCAGAGCAGGACCAGCCTTAAGGTTGCTCAGCTTTAAAACCCTAAGATTCAAAAACACCTACCTAAAATTGCATTAGGACACACTTTAATAACTTAAATGAGTAGATCAGTGCCACAGAGCTTCCCTCAGAGTAAATCCTCGGTCCCTGCAGCGTAAGCGTGCCCTGCACTGGAAGAAATCAGAGTAGCTACAACACACCCCAGCCCAGCAACACCTTGGAAGGGAGGCCCACTGCTACTTTTCAACATCTGACCCTTGGTCCTGCTTCCTCAAAGCTGCCATGAGGCAGGGACGCAGGTTAGCAACAGATGTACTCAGTCACACTCCAAGATGTAATTTCCATAAATCTAAAAGGAAAGAAAGTCACAAAAAGTAGAAGCAGCTACAAATAGTTAAAATTTTAGAATGTTAGAATTCAGAAAAGTCATGTTATTAAACTGTTACTAATTTTAAAAATTAATAGTTGATGTCAAACCTTCTACGTAAGACAATTCTGTTAAGTCGACAGTAAGTAGCAGGTTAGGGAAGGCAAGGAAATCAATGAAAGAGGAGAGTGAGGTGGTGCCTTAGGGGCAGCAGAAGACTCAGAACGTCTAGGAGGCGACCCTAACACGCATCCCCCCAGTCAGCCAGCCAGCCAGTCGCTGTCGTGACTACACCAAAACAGGATAGTAACTGAGGACATGTTAAGACATTACAAACCTCATAGTGACATATACTTGAAGCTTAAATTCTTGTTAACACTTTCCTTTAAAGATTTAACAGGAAATAATCCAAATACTATGGTCTATCATTGCTACCCAAATAAAAAATGAAGCCCCACATGCAAGATGACAGGAATATTTGACATGATGCCAAGGCACAGCTCCTGAATATGCACGGCATGAACTGCAAGATTTTGTCATTATTGGAACTTACCTGACCTTCAGGTTTACATTTTAACAATTAAAATAAATGATACAATGTTTAGAAGTGGTGGGGTATGTGTTTTATTATCTTTCGTGCATACCAAATTTATTAAGCTGAAATCATTTCCTACCTCTAATAAATAAATATGAGATAAATGACTAATAAAGTCTAAGCGTAGCCCGGGTGGTCAGGGTCCAAGTGCCCACAGCTACATGTGACACGGTCACCAGAACAGGGTGCTCACTGATAAAGCAAGCATCCCGGGTGCTCCCCTCTCAGTCTCTCCAAGCCTTGCTGCCTCCCCAAAGGGAAGAGTGAGGGCTGCTTCTCCAAGTTACAGCTGGACAAAGTGACGCAAGGTTTCAAAAGGAGGGGAAGCTGCGGGGGCCACCGAGTGGGAGCCACAGAGTTGGGGTACCTCATCTAGGCCACTGACTGCCCAGAGAGGCCCATCCACAAAAACATCACATTTCTGAATGAATGTGGGGCTTGGGAATAGCGACACAAAGAGAAACACGCTTCTGAGTGGGCAGGCAGAATGAGGCAAAGCGTCCACAGTGAGGCCCCTGAAGCTTCAGGTGCAAAGTGGGTGCCGATTTATCCCGAAATCTGCCACCAGTCCCAGAGCTCTCAGAGCAGGACTGCTAGTTCAAAGGCCCCTGCGTTCCCAGCCAAATTTACCACTTCCTAGTGCCGGCACCTCCCAAGCCCCCATCATGCTGACAGGCAGACGCCCTTACCAGTTGTTGACCTGGAGTAGTGTCAGGTTTGTCTGGGCAGCAATCTGTTTTTTCTCATCTTCTGTGGGGTAGGGATGCTAAAAATAAAATGAAGGGTTACCATGAACCACAGTTTTTAAAAAGGAACTCAATTATTATCTAGGTAAAATAGAAGCATACAAATAATCAACAGTAAAAGCTGGTGTCAATAGTGCTTTTATTTAAAACCTAACTACAGTCTTACAACTTTTTGTAGAAATTCCCAAAACAGAATGAAGTTTCTTCCTAGCCACACAAGAACACACTGGTACTGCAGCAGCTTGGTAAAGCACAAGCTCAGGTGTGGTTAGACACAGTCTGAAGGTTCAAAAGTGAAATGGTGACCCAGCTGCCAGGAGTAGCTGCCCATCGAGGGGCCCACTCCTTGCCAGGCGCTGCGCTAAGCACCTGATACAACCTACAGCCTTTGTATCAACTTTACTGTGGCACAACTTATTAACCAGAACCTACACCCACTTAAAGTGGACAAATGTTGCTTTCTGACCCATGAAATCTCTGCCTCCACCAGACAGCAATGCTGTCACCGCACATCCTACAGTGATTCACTGACCCTCACCATCACCTCCTGACATAGCTTCCCCTTCATTCTACAGATGAAACACCTGACAGGACAGTCTGCACACTTTCCCACCCTGCAGTTGGCCAAAGAGGAAGCAGGAAAAAGGGCTGGGCGGGGCCAGCTGCTCCAGGTATGTCTCAGGTGAGGATGCATTTTCTCCCAGGTATCCCAGGAACACTCCACCCTAGGAGGCCCTGATGTCAGCAAGGCTTTTTAGAAGCAGACCCCTGCTGGGCTAACGTGTGTTGCCAGTAAAGAACCAAATCCAGGGCTGGGGAAAGAAGTGTCGGTCATACTACTCTTTTTTTAAATGTAGGAACAAAACATTTCACTTTAGAAAGCAGAATGAACCCAGAAGTATCAAAATTCAGAGAGACACCAAAGGAAAATACTTTCTGTGTACAGTAAATCATTTCTCTAAGACTGACTACTGTCCACATGCAGAAACCCTATTAAGACATTTACTCTATGACCTATTTGCACCAAAGTCCCTTATTTGGACTGACAGGGACCCCGAGAGCCAGTGGACAGCCGGTTAGGCAGGAGGAGGGCCTCCAGGTGAGCACACACACCCCCCCCCCGTGGGAAGGCCACTGTGCCTCACAGTGCAGACGCAGACCACAGTCCTCTTGGGGCTTTATGTGTCCCCACAGACTGCGACAGTGGCTCGATCTGTTTCCGTAGATGAGCGTTATGGCCCAGAGTTAGAGGTCATGTAACACACTGTGCTTGCCCTTTGAAGGGCTTGTAAAATGAAAGGGGGCAGAAACGTCAGGACACAGATCAGAAACAGACAGTAGTAAATGCTGCCCTGGAGTGTGAGAAGGACAGGGAAAGGGAAGTATTCTAAAGAGATGAAGGCAAGAAGAGGGAGAAACCGCTTTCTAGGAAAAACAGTGGCATTTTAACTGCATCTATGAGGGTTTATTGTTTTAGCAATAATTTGAACATTAAAGGAACTTACAAGGAAAACTATCCAAGTCTACCACTTGCCTGCTTGTATTCCAGTAATGGCATTACAGACGCATTTATGGGCTGTGACATCACGAGGTGTTCAGAGAGAAGTGTGCCTCCTTCACTACTACCGCTTCCCCGGAGCCCCTTGCGCATCTGGCCCTCCCCCACCATGCTGCCCAGCTCCACCACCACTCCAGCAAACCAACAGGGACGCCCACGCTCCAACTCATTTCTATTAGCACAGCGAACACCACTACCACTTTGCCCACAAAACCTTCCATCTTCTTGTGACTCTTCTTCAGACAAACCTGTAGACATGGTGGCACTGCCCAAAGGTTACCCGCTCTCCGTGGGGACCGTGTGCACTGCTGGTGGGAATGGCTTGGTGGTGGCCAGAGCACCCGAGCAGAGAGGAGAGGCGCTGGGCCCCAGCACTCAAGGAGAGGCAGCCTGGGCTCCCTCAGGGTCTCCCCCCAGGAGAGGGGGGTCCCAACCCCTCCCTGACCACTCCACGACATCTCGTGCTGGTTCAAATCCAAAGCTGGTCGCTGCCTGGGACCCCTGCCCCTCAGGTTAGGGGCCCGACACCAGTTAGTGAAAAGGGTGGCTGCTCACAGAGACAAGGGCTAAAGCCCAGAGGGACCATCGGGGGTAGGATGGAGACAGGTGCCACGGAACAAGTACAGGCCTCAGGCCCCGGCAGCGGTGCCTAGGGAAGGTGGACCCAGAGGAAGGACACGAGGAGCCTAGCACCTGGCCGACACCCTGCTGACAGCCTTGGCACACCAGGATGGGGATGAGGACAGGCTAGTGAGAAGCGAGAGAAATGGAGGGATGTAACCAGACAGGCCCAGCTCAGCTGGGCTCTCAGGAAGAGGCAGGTGGCCATGTGCAGTCTGGGGACAAACAACATGGGGTGGAAGCATCTAGCCAAAACACTGGTTCATGGGACCACCAGGCAGCTTCCTGCAGGACCTCCTGACCTGTCGCTCCTGACTACAGAGGCAGCCATGGCATCTGCACCCAAACACCCCTGAGGGGTCCATTCCCTGCCGTGTCCCACCATGCACTCCTCTGAGGCGTCCCACTCATTCCTTACCCAGACTTCCAGACCAGGTTGTCACGCTCTCCCCCGAGTTCCAGGCGGGAAGACTCAGTGGCCAAGCATGGTGGAAAGCAAATCTTTACCACTGAGTGTATCAGGAAGTCTGTGCTTCCTAAGACAGGATGTACTCATGGAGAGGAAACAGGTGCCCAGACACAGGCCGAGTCAGCGCTGCCTACCAGCCACGCTCTAGATCAAGTTCAGCGAGTCCATCTGTGGACCCCTCTGCCCATCTGGGTGACCACATCTCCATCTTTGACCTTGTCATGTCTTCCTTATGCTCCAATATATAAAAAACATTGCTGTTTTCTGATGTTTTGCCCAAATGCATCCTTTCTCCTCCCTCTTCTCTAATTTACCACCCAATTCGGGCAGTTTCTCACATGCCTGTGTGCGAAGAACAGGAGCTGAATTTATTCCCTTCCACCTGTGGCAACCCTCATTCTATGCTAAGTTTCTTGAAGCAAGTCCTCCACTTGCTGGTGACCTCCTTCTGTTCCATCTCCACCCACCGTAGGACAGTCAACGAAATGCTGATCCTTAAAACCAGGCCTACTAGCCCACATAGTAAGTTTTTTCTAGAAAATAAGCCAGAAAGAGAGTCTTGCTAACTGTGAAATTGCTTTTGTTCTTACCCCTATGTGCTGAAAGAGCCAAGATCTCATCACATTGGTAGCGTGCTTCGGCAGAACACCCCTTTTATTCTTAGATGAGCCATCATCTTGATGCAAGATGCTTAGATCTTGGTTTAACTGTAACTGAAGCTTTTAAACAATTGAAAAATAATGTTAGAAAACATAGAAAATTACAACATATCCAAGTAACTTACAACTTCAGATGGAGAAATGACCAAGGATCTTATGGATAAATGACTTATCTGCAGTAAGGACATGCACCCTGGACCCTGTATGGGGCTGTCTGAGGATACAGCTTCCTCTGCATTGTAATTGCTTACACAGCCTCAGCTATGCAGGGACTCCTTGACCGTGGGATAGATGCTGAGAGGGCCTCTGAGCCCTCCACTCGGCAGAGTCCCACAGTCCTCTCAGTCACTACCTGCTCTCACCTTGCTTCCTCTAGAAATGGACACAGTAGCATCCCGTTTCCTAGCCTGAAAGGGACTTCAAGAAACCAATGAGACATGGAAGCTGCTTACACCACCCAGAGGAGGCCATGTCAGCTTAACAGAGGGGCGAGAAATGGAAATAAAGTATAGATGAGGAATCACAAAGCAAGGGGTAAGGGGACCACCTCTGGCCCAGATGCCACTAAAGACACTGCCTCCCTCATCCTGAGAAAAGCACTGACACATTCTGTCCACTCCATTTCAGAAGGAAAGGACACACATCAAAACACTTCCTCACACAAACATGAGAAAAGATTGCTACTTAAGGGGCTGTGCATCAGGCTTTGGCGCTATGTCTGGGCACGCGTCTGGCTCCCCACTGCCTGCAGAGACAGTGTCATCTGGACCCACCACCCCGACTGGGAAGGTGACAAGTACTGCCGGCCAGGGCCTCAGCCTAGATGATGCTCTGTGATTAATGCTCTAATTCAGAGCGTACATATGGCTCTGACCTCACAGGTAGTAGAACGTCCGCCTCTATGGTCGATTTCAGGTGAATGATTATAAACATCATTTAAAGGATTTGGAAGTTTATTTTGAAGAGGTTTTTACTATATTATTTGTATCCCCTCTGGATTGACATCATTTTGGATATATTTTTAAAAACAGAACTTATGACTTAGTGGCCATGAAGAGCAGCACTAACTGTATCTAGAATTTCTTAAAACTCAGGATTACCACTAAAGGCATAGTTGTTTTGGAATGTGTTTGTTTGCTAAAGGACTGAAAACAAATGGTGTGAAGTACCACCTGTGTGCTCACCCTTGTGTATACAGGAAAATGAGTAAAAAATGAACTTTTAAAACTAGTCCCAAAGCACCAGGGCCAAAACTTAGCTTGTCTTATTTGTCTCAATTTAATACATGACATTATTCATAAAATTGGACATGTGTTTCAGCATTGCTCTTTTGTGAAGATTTAAAGCAAATGTGGGCTCATAAAGAGGCAAAGTGACATAAAGTGGCTGCACAACTTGATTTCACGCATGTGCCGAGGGGCCTAAGGAGGGCCAGCTGAGCCAAGTGAGGACCAGCTAACCCAGTTGCCCTCAGGAGCTCCAGGAGAGCCTGGCACTGGACAGGCAGGGCACATGAAGCCCAGGAAACCAGCTGAAAGTCCACTTGAGAAGCAGCGAGACCCATGGCCCCTGCCGTCATTCTCTGCAGATGCCCCCTGCCTGCCCTGCCAGAAGTCGGGTGCAGAGGGAGTAGGGGACAGGGGCGGAGGGAGGGGTCAGGAAGTCGGCCACAGAGGGTGCTCCGCCCACTAGGCCCTGCAGCCCCACGTGCCCCAGGCGCCAGCGTCCTTTTTTGAAGAAACTGAAGGAAGAAGCACAAATGGAGAATCTGGAGGCCCACCCACAGAAGAGCCAGCTTGCTCCTGCCCAGCACTCGAAAGCACCAGTTTTCTAGTGGCTCATGTTTTCATTAAAAGGACCTAGTGTCCCCAAACACCTGACACCCTACATCACAGAAAGGAGACTCTAAAGTGAATAAACTTTTCAATGCAGAGGGAACAGCGAGAGTGCAGAAACTAAAGAAGACTTCAGTCAGCCATGAACCAAAACCAGGATGCTACTTTAAGAAAAAAGGGCACAGACGAGAGCAAAGAAGAATCTGAGAAATAAAAACTATGCTGAAAATTTAAAACTTGTTCGATGTGTTGGAAGAGAAAAGGCAATCTGTCAGAGAGAAGACAATGGGAACACAACTACAAAAGTAACAAAAACCGAGACTCCACTCAGGAGGTCTACTGTTCAGTCAGTAAGACTTCTAGAAAGAGAGGCAGGTGGGCAGGGCGGGGGTGGGTGGGGTTGTCTGTCACTGAGAGCGTTCAGGAAAATGTCCTGACTCAAGGATAAGCCCTTCGGAGCCAGGGCCACCTCCCAGTGGCAGCACTGCTCCCACAGCACCCTGGTGCCTCCCTGAGGGCATGTCCCCACCTGGGACTGTCCAGGCGGCACATGCCAGCAAGTAGGAAGCCAAATTAAAGTCATTTTTAGGTTTGCAGAGTCTCAACAAAATGTTCTTCCCATGCAGAATTCCAGAAGCTTTCCAAGGGAGAGTACAGCCATGCAAGTGGAAGAGTGGGATCCAGGAGAAGGGAATCCTCAAGGTGGTATCAAAGGGAAGTTCCATAACACGCCCCATGCCCTATGCCCAGCCTAGATAGAGGACAGCCCTGGAGGCCACACAGCATGCTTGTTATCTAAGAGGATGTGAGGACTCAGCCATCAATGCCATGGAACCATAGCCAAGGAGGGAAAATACAAGATATTAACTTGGGTGGAAAGAACCATTTGAACCAGATGGTAGTACACACAGCTCGGCAGAAGCCAGGATCACATGGTCATGACGACAGCAGCACGGAGAACGACACGACCTCGCTGCGATGAAATGAGCGGAGACGGGACAGACACAGTGAGCGGGTGGGGAGGCCCTCACCTGGCAAAAGGCCAGGCCTACATGTTTGGAGGGTGAACTGAGAGAGAGGGCTGTTGTTCAGAGACATGGAACAGCAGAAGCGACAGCTAAGACATCTGAGAGCAGCTGCGTGTGGGGACCGGGGTGGCAACTGCTGTACTTGTGACAAGCCGTTTGCATGCTGGGCACCCCATGTGGTGACACAAGCAACTTAATAAAAAGGCAAGACTAAGGAGTAAAACAGAGGCAAAAAAACTTTGTTACAGGCCAGACAACAGTAAAACCCTATGATATACAAATAACAGTTGTACAAAGACAACTCCACGGGAAAGGGAAGGAGGCAGTGGGAGAAGAGACCAGTGGAATCTCCCACCCTGCAGAATCCTCATTTTCTTAAAAATCTTTAGGGTAGTTTGCACTTGAAGTACAATTTATGGCTTTCCGGCAGAGATGTCCAAGGAAGAGCACGCAAATCCTGCCCACGCCCAACCAGCACTAGGTCACAAAGCGCGCCATGGTGGGGACTCTGCCCTGGGGAGCACGGCAACGCCATGCAGAGCCACTGTGGCTGCTCATGGCCCAGCCAGACACCGGGCGGGGATCTGCCCCATGGGGCAGGCGCAAGAGTCCGAGGGCTCAGCCATCACTGCCACCACACTGCCACTGCAGCCGGGACTCGCCCACGCGTGCCCCCTCATGTGAATGACGCTGACCACCAGCGCTGACAACACGAACCATGACAGACCATCAACCTCCCTGACAAAACCAACCCTGACAGGTTCCGACACAAAAACAGACTGTCACTGCTGAGTTCCTCCAAGATCTGAAGCATAGCAAGACCCAAACCTTGGCCAAAAAAGAAGAAAAAAAGAGCCCAAAGCAAGCCAAATATCTATGACAGAATCATATACACAGTCAACCCTCAAACAATGCCGGGGATGTGCTGGCCCCCATCTTGCAGTTGAAAATCCACATATAACTTTTGACTCCCCCAAAATTTAACTACTAAATGACCAACTGTAGCCTTACTGATGACATAAACAGTTAATTAACACATGTTTTATATGTTGTATGGGTCATATACTATACTCTCACAATAAAATAAACTATAGAAAAAAGATATTAAGAAAGTCCTAAGGAAGAGAAAATACACTTACTTTACTGTATTTATTGGAAAAAATCTGCATGTAAGTGGTCCCATGAAGTTCAAAGCCATGTTGTTCAAAGCTCAGCTATATAATGTCAATATTTTATTCAAAGAACACTCCCCACCTGTAATCAGATCTCTTCACTCTCCTGCTAGAAACCCTGAGCAGCTTATCTCTCTGGCTCCAAGCCCTGCTACACTGGAGCCATAAACAACAGGGGCCATGATCAGCTCGAGGCAGGCTGCAGGCCACTGAGCACCAGAGCAGAAGTGCCCACAGGCAGCAAGCAAGGGAGTGTGTTCACCTGCCACAGGGAGCGAGGGAGAGTCACATGCATGTCCACGTGAGAAAGGGTTCTACTGAAATAATCCAAACTCCACATGTTTGCTACTTCAATCATTAATCTTTGTCTGTAAGAACATCCAGGTCAGGAGAAAACTTCCCACTATAAGGCATTTGACTTCAAAATGTCTTCCTCTGAAAGCAGTTCACTTTGATACTAGGAAACACTCTGCAAACCAGAAGCTGCTCTGTGTTTCAGCCGTCCACAGTGGGAAACTCCAAGGAGAGGGCTGGGTGGGAGATGAAGGAACAGTGCTGGTGGCAGCCAGCTCTTCCCCTGCCCATTGCTGAGCTTGGGAAGTCACTTCACATCCTGGGAAGTCCCACATGTGCCCAGATGACCTCTGAGGGGCCCCAAACCTCTGGCCCTGCCAGCTTGACTTTGTCCATGAAGTCAAACACAGCAATACCTGGAGAGGGTTGCTGGTCTGTGCCAGCCCAGCCCTCTCAAATATGCTATCTGATTTAGGGAAAAAAACACTGACATCCCCAAGGCTGGGCCTCAAAGTTGTTAATAAGGATGTAGAAAATATCTGTGCAGGCCAAAGACAGAACTAACATAAAGAATGAATCAATGTTCTTTAAGTAAGAACTGGTAACAGGAACATTTTCCGATTTAAACCTAGCTAAATGTAAAAAAAAAAAGTGTATGTGTGTGCATAAGTGTCTTTACACATGTATGTGTGTACAGTGTATTTGTGTGTGGTATACATGTGTGTATGTATCTCCAGAAATTTTAGGGGTCTGGCAGACCATCTCATTTTACCATAAAGGAACAGAGAGGGCAAGATATCCCAAGGTCACAGCATGTCAGAGCATGCTGGTCATGAAGCTGCCTCCTGTGCTTTGGGAGCTGTGTTCCCCAGGAGGTGGTGGGCCAAGGGGAGGAGAGCAGCCTCCTTAGAACAGGGTCCCCACTGGGCAGCGTGGAGAGAGGAAAGGGGACACCTCTCTTAGGCTTATCAGGGTGTGGGAGGATGTTAACCAAGGGCCTGGACACCCATGCCAGGCACAGCAGGTGCACAGCAGCAAGAGCAGACAGGACCCAGCCAGCCTAACACTGCCACAGGAGGTATCGGGGGCCTCAGCATGGCCTGGAACACCAGCTTGGTGGTTCTGCTGTGAATCTCCACAGGCCCCAGCAAGAGGGCATCTACACAGCCTCAAGTCTCCCAAGGTGAAGACAGCCATACAACCCAGCATTAGCATGGCCCACAGGATTGCTTAAGGGATAGTGGATGACTCCCCCTGCCTCCTCTTCTCTTCTGAACTTTGCAATTTTGTCACCATGAGAGAGAGGAAGGGTGACAAGGAAACAAAACACTAACACTGAGACTGGGGATTCCACAGGAAAGTGAGGCTGAGACAAATGATCTCCAGCAGAGGGAGCACTCCGGCCTAGTTCTACCTGTGCACTCACAGCTGTGCAACATGCCCCCCAAAGCCCTTCTAAAGGAATGGCACACACACCTGGGAGTTCTGGATCCTGATCGTCCCAGGAGACAACGCCTGCGTCACCACTTGGCCCTGGGGAGTAACGACGGTGACAGGCTGATAAACTGTGCCACCTCAGAAAGGAAGCAGAGAAATTAAATTACTTTTAAGTTTCAACATTGAAAACATGCTTCTTAGTATACTTACGGAAGGAACAAAATCTCTAGTTTGATGAGCTTTTTAAGTCACTTCAAATGCTCAGCTATACTTTGCTAGCTGACTTCTCACTATAAATTATTTTAAGAACCCACCGGACAAGCAGCACATGCGTGTCCCTTACAAAGGCTGCTCAGGACTCGGCCTGCTTGGGCAGGTTCTGTAGTTCCCTTCCCTTTGCTTGCCTCTGTTTCTACCCCCACAATTAGCATATGTTAAAAGATTTTACCAAAGTCATAAATAACAAATATTTTTATTACAGCTGGCTTTTTAAATCAAATATGCCTTCATCTTCCTGTGGAGGTCTCCCTTTGTGCTATTATGTAGAGGTTTTACTGTTAATTCCTTCCCTCCTTACATGCCACATCCCATTTTCATGATGGTTTTATATTTGCAATGTTCTAGATGCACCAGGGAGCTCTAGAATCTGTCCCCTTCCTGTAATGGTTTTGTTATACAAGTTAATACTAACACTACGACTGTGTTTTTATCTGCTCATTGTCAATTAGTGACACAAGTTAAGGTTTTCCAGATGCTGCAGAGAGCACAAGTAAACATGCTGTTATTTGAAAATTACAATTTGTTTTTGCTATATGTTTTCAACTGCTATATAAAAGCTATCAATATTTTTTAGTAGGGAAACAATTTGCATAAAATGTTACTAAGAATTAACAAGAAACAGGTATTCAAAAAGCTCTAGATTTTGCACTCCTATATAGAGAACTGGCATTAATTAAAAACTATATTTATGCACCTCTTCATTCTATTATAAAGAGTTTTTATACCTGCCACCGTTGCCATGGTTACATTCCCCTGCTGCAGCGCGGAAGCAGGCACCACGATGCCTTGAGGGCTGAGGGTACCTGTGATCGCACTTTGAATTTGCTGTCAGTCAGAAACACACAGTGAGGGGTTATTAGGAAACAGAAAACCCATGTTTAAAACTTCAAACAAATAACAAAATTGTGTCACTAATAACAATGCTTGAGGCAAAGAGCACAATCAGATGACCAGCACTCATTATATCTGCAAACCAAGAAATGTAAAACTGACTCAGTATTAAATATGATGATCAATACTGGGATATTAGTTTCAATTTGGCTTCCAGAAGATTATCTTCCATTTCGTCACCACATTACACATACCTTGAAGCCTAGGAGATATGACTAGGAAGACCAAAGTACCTAATCTCATCACACACCTTTCCCATTCTATTTGGCTTGACTCTTGGGTTCTCCAAGAACCAAAGCCTCCTTGACAGGACGAGCATATTCAAAGGATTGTACCCCAGGGTCAGAGGATTCTGAGTGGTGCTGGGGGAGTCACCCCTGGCTCTCCCACAGCTCCGTACCCACCCTTATCACAGGACAGAGCACATTCAAGACCCCCAGTGTTCCCGTTTGTGGAGTGCTGTGCCTGGGCCTGCCCTGCAGCAAGTTCCGTGCAAATGTCTGCGAATACCATGTTGGAGATTCACTCATCTGAAACTGGATCCAAATGAGCTAACTTATGCATTTACTGTGACGGCTGGACTGGTGGCTGCAAGGGAAGGGATCCCCAGACCTGGGCTCTAGCACAGGGTCTGGCACACAGCAGGCACCCAGATATTTTAGCAGTTATATAGCATAAGTGGATATCATCCAAAGACAATTACACTGTGGACTACCACCAACCTGAATGTATTCAGCCTTGGTAGGTACATATAGACTTGGTCAGAATAAAAGCTAAGTGATCCAAATTAGCAATCCAAGATCTAGAAAAAGAGGAACAAAATGAAACCAAAGCAAGTAGGAGGAAAGAAATAATAAAATCAATGCAGAAACCAATGAAATTGAAAACAGAAAAGCAAAAGAGAAAAATCAATGAAAATAGAGCTGGGATTTTTTGTATTGAAAAGATCAATATAATGACAAACCTCCATTAAGACTGACAGAAAAAAGAAGACAAATTACCAATATCAACAATGAAACAGGGGAGATCACTACAGACCCTGCAGATCAAAAGATGAAAAATGAGTGCTGTTAACACTCAATATGCATACATTTGACATCTTAGACAAAACCCAACATGAAGCAAATAATCTGAACAGCCCTATTATTCAGGAAACTGAATTCATAATTAAAAACTTCTAAAATAGAACTCTCCAGATCCAGGGAGTATCACTGGAGAATTTTATCAAATATTTAAAGAAGGACCAATGCTACATAATCTCTTCCAGAAAATAGGAGAGGGAATTCTCTCCAATTTGCTTTATGAAACTTGTATTATATCCTGATTCCAAACCTTGACAAAGACTATACCAAAAAGGTGACTACAGGTCAATATCCTTCTATGTTTAAAAATGCTAATAAATATTAGCAAACAGAATTCATGTATCTATATATAAAAAAGTATGTGTCATGACCAAATGGAGTTTACTCCAGGAATGCAAGGCTTGTTCAATACTTGGAAAATCAAGTAATGTAACTTACATATTAACAGCAAAAGAAGAAAAATCATGCAATATTAGTCCATTTGGATAAAGCATTTGACAAAATTCAATATAATAAAAACTCTCCGAAAAAATAGAAATTGAGAAGAATTTCCTCAACTTGATAAAGAGCATCTAGAAAAAACTTACCAATAGGATGGTGGGTGGGGAGGGAGAAGAGGATTAAGGGGCACTATAATTTGCAATTACAATACAGGTAGGTCACAGGAAAGGCAGTACAGCCCGGAGAAGACAGGTAATGACTCTATAGCATCTTACTATGCTGATAGTGACTACAAGAGAGGGGGTTAGGACTTGATAATATTGGTGAATGTTGAAACCACAATGTTATGTGAAACCATCATGAGATTATATATAAATGATACTCTAATAAAAAAAAGACATGAAGAAAAAAGAAAAAAACCTACCAATAAATTATAATTAATAGTGAAAGTCTGAATGCTTTCCCCTAAATCAAAGATTGAGAACTAGGCAAAGATGACTGATCTCACCAATCCTATTCAAGATAATACTGGCCATTCTAGCCAATGCAATAAGGTAAGAAAAAACATACAGATCATAGTGGAGGAAACAGAAATGTCCCTATTTGCAGATGACATGACTGAATAAATAGAAAATCCTAAGGAATCTATGAAAAGGACCTCCTAGAACTCATAAGTGAGTTCAGCAAGATCACAGGATACAAGATACATATACAAAAATCAACTGTGTTTTGAACCCAAGAATGGACTAACAGTTACCAAAGGGAAAAGGACTGGGGAGGAGGGGTGGGAAGGGAGGGACAAGAGGGGGGAAAGGGGCATTATGATTAGCAGACATGATGTAGGGGGGGGCACAGGGAGGACTGTACAATGCAGAGAAGTAGTGATTCTATAGCATCTTACTACGCTGATGGACAGTGACTGTAATGGGGTATGTGGTGGGGACTTGATGATGGGGGGAGTCTAGTAACCATATTGTTGCTCATGTAACTGTAGATTAATGATATCAAAATTTTTAAAAATCAAATGTATTTCATACAGCACAGAAAACACAAGTAATGACTCTACAGCATCTTACCACAGTGACAGACAGTGACTGCAATGTGGGGTGAGTACTTGATAACATGGGTGAATGCTGAAACCACAATTTTGTTCATGTGAAACTTCATAAGATTGTATATCAATGGTACTGTAATTTAAAAAATCAACTGTATTTCTACATACTAACATGAACACTGAAGGTAAAAAATATAATACCATTTACAATTGCTCAAAAAATGTAATACTTTAAAATACTCTAAAAGCAGGAGTGTAGGACTTATATATCTTGCAGAGAAGTAGTGATTCTATAGCATCTTACTACGCTGATGGACAGTGACTGTAATGGGGTATGTGGTGGGGACTTGATGATGGGGGGAGTCTAGTAACCATATTGTTGCTCATGTAACTGTAGATTAATGATATCAAAATTTTTAAAAATCAAATGTATTTCATACAGCACAGAAAACACAAGTAATGACTCTACAGCATCTTACCACAGTGACAGACAGTGACTGCAATGTGGGGTGAGGACTTGATAACATGGGTGAATGCTGAAACCACAATTTTGTTCATGTGAAACTTCATAAGATTGTATATCAATGGTACTGTAATTTAAAAAATCAACTGTATTTCTACATACTAACATGAACACTGAAGGTAAAAAATATAATACCATTTACAATTGCTCAAAAAATGTAATACTTTAAAATACTCTAAAAGCAGGAGTGTAGGACTTATATATCTACAACTATGAAACACTGATGAAAGAAATCACGGAACCATAAATAAATGGGGAGACATACCATGTTTGTGGACTACAAGAGTCAACATAATAAAGATGTGAATTGTCCCCAAAGTAATATGCAGGTTTAATGCAATTCCTATCAAAATCTCAGCAACAATTTATAGCCAAGATTATTCTAAAATGTATATGGAAAGGCAAATGAACTAGAAGAGCTAAAATAATTTTGAAAAAGAATAAACTGGAAGGAACAATTTCCCAATTTTGAGATTTAAATATAGCTACAGGAATCAAGACTACATGGTATACACACAGAGATCAATGAAACAGAAGAGAATACAGAAACAGACCCTACAAACATGCCCAACTGACTTTTGACAATGGTTCAAATGCAATTCAATGGAGGAAGGACAGCCTTTTCAATAAAGAGTGCTATAGCAAATGGACATCCAGAAGCAAAAAAATGAACTTCAGCCTAAGCCCTCACACTTTGTACAAAAGTTAACTCAAAACTTATGGATTTAAGTGAAAAATATTAAAACTTTCAGAAAAAAAAATACGAGAAAATCTTTGGGATTTCAGGCTAAGCAGAGTTCTTATACTTGACACCAAAAGTATAACTCACAAAAGGAAAAATTAATAAATGGGAGTCTACCAAAATTTAAAATGTTTTCTCTGTGAAAGACCCTGTTAAGAGAATGAAAAGATAAGCTATTGACTTGGAGAAAAATTTGAAAACCATATACCTAAGTGAGGAGTAATATCTAGAATACTCTCAAAAGCCAGTAGTGAAAAAAGAAATCCAACTAGAAAATGGGCAAAAGATACGAACAGACATTCCACCAAAGAGGATATACAGATGTCAAATAAATGCGTGAAAAGATGGTCAGTATCATTAGCCATCAGGGAAATATCCTTGCACACCATAAGAATGGCTAGAGAATATAATGGTGCTTCAACTTGGATCAACCTTGAGGCCATTATGCTGAGTGAAATAAGCCAAATACAAAGGGACAAACACAGCTTGATTCCCCTTCCATAAGGTAGCTAGTCACATTCACTGAGACAGAAATAGGTGGTGGGTCCAGGTGCTAGGGAAGGGAGAATGAGGAGTTAGTGTTTAATGGGTACAACGTTTCAGTTTGGGAAGAGAATGTTCTGGAGATGGATGGTGAGGATGGTTGTACAACAATGGAACGTGCTTACTGCTACTGAACTGTACACTTAAAAATGTAAGATGGTAAATTTTAGGATATGTATACTTTAACCACAATTTGTAAAAATTACTTAATAAGTAAATAATGCATTTTGAAAAAGAAAGAAATGAATGGTACTCCATCCCCCAGAAATACGGGGTCCAGGTTCTAGGACACAGATTGTGAGGCCTCATTAGATTCACTACATGAAGCCCAGTGGATTCTCTCCAGCCTGAGGGAATTCATCTGCAGTCTAGGCCAGGCTCAGAGACCTGGAAGACCCTTTGAGCAGAAAAGCCCTGCAATTCTGAAGGGGCTGGTGGTCTCAGGAATCAGCACATTTCACCTTTTTAGACATCACAGTAACTGGGAAGTAGAGCGGGACCCAACATAAATACCTGGGACTGGGCAGGGGAGTATGGGCTTCCGGGTTCTCCACTCAGGAGAGTTTCACTGTTCATTTTCGTTTTTAGACAAGCAATATATCGACTGCAGAAATCTTTGCAGAGTTCATTAACCTTTTCCAGTTCAAGAAGATGAATACGCAGAACCTGGATTGCTTTTACCATCTAGAAGCAGAGAAAATGAAGACTTTCAAACAAGAGGAAGACATCATTGTTAAGTTGGTAAATAAGTTCTAATTATCACCACATAACCATTCTTAATTATTAGCCTAAACTGCATAGCCATGGCCATCTGTACTGTCAATAACACAAGGGGAATAATATCAGAAATTATGCAAAACAACACATCATTCCAGGGCCACTGACCTGTAGCTTGGTATTTTGGGGAAAGACAGTCCAGCGCCCACCCCAGTGGGTCATGGGAGCGGAGGACAGCAGAGCCTCAACCTAGCACCAGCACCAACTCGCCACATGTGGGGCCCATCACTCACACTCGCTTTGCTCTAGTTCCTTCATCTATAAATGGAGATGAATCTACACCCACCTGATAAGTGGCTTTAATTTTGATAAAGTTCAATTTACCAGTTCTGCCTTTTACAGATTGTGGAGGTGACATACAGTCTAAGAACTCTTTGCTTAGCCTTCATTAGCCCTAGAGCTTAAAGACTTTATTTTATTATTTTTCTGAAAGTTTCAGTTTAGTATTAAGTCAGTAGATTTTGGAGGAATTTGTCCCACAGTAGTACTAAACTAACAGTAAAACTGCTACCATAAGCACCATTCGCATGTGGATCCGCAACCCAAAACTCAGCTCCTTCCCCAGAGGAATGGGTGAAATGAGCCCGCTGATTAATCAGTCCACCAAACATCAAGCTCAGCGAGGCCCCATGCTAAACACCAGTCAGGAGAGCCGGGGGCCATGCCAGCCTGGGGCCACTCTGGCTACACCTGCTCCCCACTTGCCAATGGCTATATGACAGAGATCCAAAGGCAGAGAGAGCTTCTGGTACTCATCCCCAAAGGCAGGCACTGTTAGTCTCATTTCAAAGCTGAGGAAACAGACTCAGAAACAGACAGCTCGCCTATAAAATCTATTAGGCTGTAAGGATTGAATATATAATGGGAAATTTTTTTTAAATCACAACAAAGGGTGGAAAAAGACAAATATCAAATGATTTCACTCATCTGTGGAGCATAAAAACAAAAACTGAAGGAACAAAATGGCAGCAGACTCACAGAACCCAAGAATGGACTAACAGTTACCAAAGGGAAAGGGACTGGGGAGGATGGGTGGGAAGGGAGGGACAAGGGGGGAAAAGGGGCATTACGATTAGCACACATAATGTAGGGTGGGGGTATGGAGAGGGCTGTGCAACACAGAGAAGACAAGTAGTGAATCTACAGCATCTTACGCTGATGTTCACAGAACCCAAGAATGGACTAACAGTTACCAAAGGGAAAGGGACTGGGGAGGATGGGTGGGAAGGGAGGGACAAGGGGGGAAAAGGGGCATTACGATTAGCACACATAATGTAGGGTGGGGGTATGGAGAGGGCTGTGCAACACAGAGAAGACAAGTAGTGAATCTACAGCATCTTACGCTGATGGACAGTGACTGTAATGGGGTATGTGGGGTCACTTGGTGAAGGGGGGAGCCTAGTAAAATGTTTCTCACGTAATTGTAGATTAATGATACCAAAATAAAAAATAAAATAAAATAAAGTAAAATAAAGAAAAATAAAGTTAAAAAAATAAAATAAAGAAAATATAAAATAAACAAATAAATAAATAATAAAATAATAAAATTAAAACAAAACAAAACAAAACCAAATAAAATAAAATAAAATAAAATAAATCACAACAAAGGCCTGGGCAATTTATTTAGGAAAAGAGTTTCCTAAGACCCTTTTCTGCTGGTAAGAGCTCAGACTGAGATTTTGGTCCGGGAGCTGACAGGCTGTAGAGGAAATCCGGACACAGACTTCCAGTGCCCACCAGTCCTAGAAGGCACTGGGTGCAGCAGGGACCAGCAAAGAATTCTCCATTTCCCTCAGGAAGCAGAGAACGCTGAATCTTGGAGCACTGGACTTTTGTCAAGCCTGTCCCTGCTCTGGGTTCGTGAGCCTCACCAAGTCGTCACAGAGCTTTGTCAGCCACCACAGACTAGGGCCAGCCCCAGACAGAGGGGTCTTGGAGAACAAGGTCACCTGTCCATGATCAGGGAAAAGATAAGAACAGAAGCTGGAAACAGACAAGCTGCCTGAGAAGAAAGGCAGGTAAGCACACAAACCCTGAGGAGCCTTTGCAAAAATTAATTAGGAGAGAACTGAATCCCCAGTCTGTGGAGGACACAGGTTCAAATCATCTTATTTGATTATAAGAGGAAAGGGTAACACTGGAGGCCAAGACCTGGGACATTCATCACATAAGAAAAGTTATTTCATGAATCATACAATCCTCCCCTTTAGCAGAATGACAAACCGTCTAGAATTCTGATTAGAAGTTTAAAATTAATTGAACAGATTTTAAATTTGGAAGAAATGAAAAATTTAAAAAAAAACATGTATTTTACTTACTAAATTGTCAGTTTCTGGATCTTCACAAAAGAAGGGTTTTCCTTCCTTCTCTTGCTTCCTTACAAAATTTTCAATATCCACATCAAAACTGGCAGAAGTTGTACCTTCTGAGCCCTGTGTAGACTGTTCACATTTTTCAAATAACAAAGCTAATAATGGAAATAGTGGATGCCTGGGGGGAAAAATTTTAAAATGTATGTTCTACATTTTCATGAGAATGTTTTAGTATGTATGTAAGTATTTTTTATATAACAGTTTTGTTGAGATGTATTAATTCACATACTATTCAATTAACCCATTTAACACCTACAACCCAATGGTTTTTAGTATATTCACAGAGTGGTGCGACCATCACCATGGTCAATTTTAGAACATTTTCATTATCCCCAAAAGAAACCTGTAGCCATTAACTATCACTCTCCATTTTCTCCCAAACTCCAGCCCCAGGCCACCACTGATTTACTTTCTGTCTCTATAACTTTGCCAGTCCTAGAGAGTTCATTTAAGTGGAGTTATACAATAAGACTGTTAGTGACAGGCTTCTTTCAAAGGCTCATCAGTGTTGTAACATATATCAGTACTTCATTCCTTTTCATCATCAAATAATATACCATTGTAGGGACAGACTAGTTTTACAGTTTTAAGATTTGCATTTAGATCTATACTGTTTTTAGTACATTTACATAAAATGTGAGAATAGATTGAGGATCTTCTTCTACATACAGATGTCCAATTGTTCCAACACCATTTGCTGGAAAGTCTACTTTTTCTCTACTAAACTTTTTTTGTGCACCTTTGTCAAAGATCAAATTGTAGTTGTGTAGAGCTCTTTCTGGACTCTCCATAGTGACACTGATCTATGTGTCTACCTTTTCACCACTATCACATCTCAATTACTGTGACACAATAGTAAATCTTAAAATAAGGTAGACAGATTCCTCCAACTGTATTCTTTTACAAAACTGTTTTACCTGATCTAGTTCTTTTGATCTCCATGTAAAATTTAGAATTAACATGTCTATCTGTACAAAAATATCCTAAGACTGTAATTGCAATTGCATTAACCTACAGATCAATTTTACAACAAATGACATGTTTACTATGCTGAGTCTTTAATCCATGAACATGGTATGTCCTACATTTATTTAAGTTTTCTTTGATTGCTTGCATCAGTGTTTTATAGTTTTTAGCACAAAGGTTTTGTACATGCTTTGTTAGATTCATACTTAAATGGTTTTGGAGCTCTGTAAATGACATTGTCCTTTTAATTTCAGTTTCCAATATACATTACTGGTGTGGAAATAAGACTGATTTCTGCATGTTGCCCTGGTATAACCTGTGAACTCATTAAACTCACTTTGGAAGTATTTTGGTAGGCTCTTTGAGATTTTCTACACAGACAACCATGTCATTTTACTTAAGAGTCAATTTTATTTCTTCCATTCTAACCCAGTATGCCTTTTCTTTCTTTGTCTTGCCTTAATGCATGAGCTAGGACTTCCATTACAGTGCTGAACAGGAGTCAGAGTGGGCGTCCTGGCTTTTCCTTTGTCTTGGGGGAAAACAGTCTCTCATTATAGATGATGTGAGTTCTAGGTTTTGTAGTTGCCCTTCATCAAGTTAAGAAGGTCCTGCTTATTAACACTTTACTGACCGTTTTTAACCACAATTGGCTGTTGACTTTTGTGAAATGCCTTTCTGCATACTTTATATGGTCACATTGTAGATATCATTTGTTGATCTTTGCAGAGTGAACAAGTCTTGCATTCCTGGGATCAACTCCACTTGGTCACTATATTTTCCTCTTTTTGTATGTTCCTGGACTTGATTTAATATTTTATTAATGACTTTTACATCTAACTGCATGAGACATACTGTCTGTACTTTTCTTTTTTGTGTGCTGTCTTTGCTGACCTTAGTATCACTGTTGCTCAATTCATAAATAGGTTGGGAAGGATTCCTCTTCTGTTTTCTGGAAGAGATTGTGTAGACTTGCCATTTTTAATTCTACATATTTTTGGTGGAATTCTCCAGTAAAACCATCTGAGCCTCAAGATTTATTTTTGCAAAAGAATGAGTAACGGTAGATTTATATACCAAAACTTTTAAAAGGCAGAGGGAATAATATCTTAATTTGAGGAAAATTTCACCCCCCTTGTTACCACATCACCCTTACTCCTCTTCCTAGGTAACAGCTCTAGCTTTCCATTGAGCAAGATTTTCTACTCTCATTAATTCCTCATGAAACCCACACACTTCACGTCACATCACTACCTATAAATGGCCTGCTTGTCCGCATCCATCGGTGTCTGGGACCCCACAGGGGGAGGGCTCACTCCTTCCACATCAGGGTCAGAGCAGATGGCGTCTTGCTCTGTTTTTAACTCTGTTACTACTTGCATCTGTGAAAGTAAGAGGATAGTTTTTGTCATTAAACACAAAACAAACTGCTACTAAGTATTCAATTCTCAAACAGGAAAGCAATGGGAACAGCGTATTGCCAGACAGCTATATGACTGGCAATAATATGTAAAGAACACTACCAAAAAAACTCTCTAGAATTTAATGTTTTTAAAATGGTTAAAACAAAGGTCAAATTTCCAAACCACTTAAAACCAGAGAGGGCCAATACCTGTGATATGCTTATGATTTTCAAAATCATAATGACTATACACTGCTGAAGGGAATTAGTAATATGCAATCCTACTCGTCTGTGTCTTCCTGATATGTATCCTCACACTAAAAAACATTACAATAAGAGAAAGATAAACAAATACTCAAAGCTCTTCTTTAAGTGTCACAAAAACAACTCAAACCCAATATGCTCCATATGGTGACAGGACTGACATTCTCTCCTATATACCCTTAAACTTCAGAAGTACATAAGTTATAAACATTTTAAGGTCACTGTATTCAGAAAGCAAAGACCAGCTGTGTTTAAAGAAATAGTATTAAATGTGAGAGGAAGCCTTAAAGATATTATTATTTAAATTACTTTAAACTAGCTATTTTGTTTGTAACTTAGGTAAAAGTACTTAAATCCTTAGAGAATTCAGTTTCCCCCCACCCCAAAAAAAAAACCAAATTGCTACAGCAAACTTGTGATGATGCAACAGCAGACTGACAGGCTGCCCACTGGCTGCTGCCTCTGCCCCTCAGGGAAGCGCCTGTTAGGGTCTGGGGATGGGGTTAGGGGAGGGGGCCGAGAGAGAGCCTGCCTTCCACCCTGAAACCCACCCCAGGGCTGCAGGCCAGGGAGCAGTCCTGCAGGTCCAGGCTCCGGCCCTGTTTCTGGGTCTCAGTCCAGAGTGCGCAAGGACACTTTCATTATGCTGCCTTTAGATGGTACACTGGGTTTGGGAAACTGTTTTTCTCTAACAACAACAAAATAAAACCCACTAAAGTCAATAACTAAAGCCCAATCAAACACAATCTTTCTGGAGGGAAATCTGACAGTATTATAAATTAAGTCTTAAAAGATTTATTTCAGGTTTCTTTTTTAATGACTGACAAAAAATAGAAACCTAAATGTTCACCTCAGAGGAATGGCTAAGTAAATTTGGTGTACCTATACTACAGAATAGTAAATGCTTAACATGTTAACAAAGAATTTTCCATATCATGGGAAAATGCTTAGCTATAAGGCACTTTCTCCCCTCTGCTCAGTACTGCACTGGACACACAGCTTTGTTAGGCAGAAAGACAGACATGAGTGGGGTGGAGAGACAATAAAGCCAGTAAAACCCACTAAAAGGGACTCAAAGAGTTAACCCAATAAAACCAGAGCCAGAAAGGACTCATGGAGTTAATTAGTTTAAATTTGAAAGGCCAGGGGTAATTTGGGATGTCTGGATATTCCCCAGATGAAAAACAACTCCCCAGATTAAGAAAAACAGAGTGCAGCCCATGTCTTCACTGTACCAATTAGATCAGATGTCCATGGCCAAAGACTGTCAATCAAGGACTTCTTTGCCCTACACCCATGAGGTACAGCAATGAAATGGGATGAGGGTCATGCCATTGTAAAATCTACTTAGCCTGCAAAAAAGGCACAGTTTATTCTTTCACTTAATCCAGAGGCTGTTCTTCCTCTTCTTCCAACCCCTTATCAATTAAATAACTTTGTAACTAGGACAGGAGACAGACTTCCCAAGTTTAAATGAACCTGTGTGGATAAAGAATGTCAGGATCCGCATCAACACTGTCACCTAAATAACCCTACACTTAAGACAAACTTCAAGAGAATTATGAATCACCTGTATGCATCATGCCTTATGCTGACCCCTCCCCAAAAGGCCCTATAGAAACCCCAAACCCCAAACCCTTAAGGGCACCTCCTCTCTGAGGTTGCCCCCACCCCTTTCTTCGAGTGTGTACTTGCCTTAAAAAGCCTTCTCACTGCTCAACTTACTGCGTTGTCTCTGCGCTCTTCCAGGGGTGTCTTTGTCACTGTGCTATTTCATTCTATTTTCCAGACTTTGAGCACAAGTCTTCATTGTCTGTTCTACCTAGGTAAGTAGGGAGGGGCTACTGAGAGCTCTGATTTGGGCTGGCAAATTCCTGTCACCTGGGTGACCCAGACAGGACTGCAGCTGTACAACCATGTTTTTTAGAAGCCCACCTGTTTAACTTTAGGCAGGCCTGCTGTTACTCTGTACAGAGTGAAATAACATTTACTTTGCCTTCTTGATTTTGTTTTCACTCTGACTTCCCTACATCTTCCAACTGAATTCCTTCCCCATGGTTTCATCAGGACAGAGGGGAGACAGACACAATATGAGAACATGTCAGGAGAACAAAGATGAGAGGAGGATGGGAGGCAGGCAGCAAATGGGTAGGAGGCAGGCTGCAGTGGTGACGGGGACAGGAGAGGCAGTCCTGTAGGAAAGGGTGATTTAAGCAGAGCCCTGCAGGACAGGAGGAAAAAGGGGAAGGAAGAGCTAGCCCCAGAGGCACAGAGCAGAGACGCCAGCCAGCAGATGTGAGTGCAAAGAGGGGCTGCAGGGGCAATGCAGAGCCCTCAGGGCAGGGCTCAGCAGCGGAGGGGACACATCATTAGATTTGTATTTTGGAAAAAAAAAATCACTTAAATATCAAAGGCCTTCCAGGTGAAGAGAACAGCTAAAACAATTCCCTACTTCAATTTCTCTAGAAGCAAAAAACACTTGGAAATTTTTTAAATGCCAGCAAAAACAAACAAGATCTCTGTAACAGGAACCAACCAAGAATGGCACAAAACTGACCATCAAGCAGGGAGTGGGGAGGGAGCTGACTCAGGCCTATCTGCCCACAGGAACTTTACCCATGGCTGTGGCCTCACATGGGTGGTAGACTCACTACAGCCTTTCTAGGGAGAGAAGAGAGGCAGTGGGCACTAATTGGGGTTCCTGACTAGGGCCGGCAGGAAGCAAAGGCAGAATTGTGTACCTTCGATGGAAGTGAGCTCCAGAGCTCTGGACTGAAGGGGAGACTCAGAGCACCTGGCCCTCAGGGCCCTAAGAGACGATGCACGGGCCTCAGCCAAGCTTCTCCTGCATCCCCTTCTCCCCAGTTGTTCAGGGCATAGAACACAGGGCATCCAGGCTTTGACTGTGGCTTCAAGGAAAAATACCCAGGCTCACGGACAGTGGAAGGGCAGTCAGGAAGCCACCACGTTATATCATGAGAGCTGTCTAGGCTTAGTGATGGAGCATGGCAGGCAAAAGGTGTAGACAGCACAGCAAGTGTGCCACACACGTCATCAGGACTGCTCACCACTCCTACCTGAGGATGCAAAGCCACAGGGTTCCCACTCAGAATGGCAGCTGGTTGACATGGGAATATGTGATTTTATCAACAACATCCAGCTTTTCTTTAAAGGCAACTTACTAACACTGACATTAAAAGGTAAATTCTCAAGAAACTATGACTAGGGAGTCAAAATTACTGGTAATCTTGGCATCAAAAAGGAAATCACTCAATAATTCTATGGCTCATCTTTCTGAGCACAGATGTATAATATATGCACAGTACACTTCAAATGAAACCACACGGAAATTGGCCTGTAAATACACAAAGCACCGTCTGGTTCTAGTGCCGGGGTGAGTCCTGGCACTAGAGTGCAGAACAAAGCTCAAGCTCTCACTTGCTGGCCATCTTGATAGCTGTCTATGCTCAGTGTCTGTGTAGCCATCATGGTTAATGACTTTTATCATAAAACATCAAATCATCTTGAGTCAAAAGCAAATGGTGTCTGGGGAAACAAAAGCGGAAAAGCATCATCAGTAACCACAGAGCATTTTCGGCCCCTTATCCCACAGCACCTGTGCCACTGTTTTAATTACGTATTTTGGCATGGAGAGAGAGCCCACCCTCATACCACTGTAAGCCAAACCCTGCCCAGCATCACCCCTTCCGTGGGGACACTGGTACCTGCACCAAGCCCTGACTGAGAGCACGTTTTCCAGCCATCTGCATTTATTGATGTACTCACCCAACATATATCCAGCACAGCAGCAAGCATACAGGCAAGGCCCTGTTGTCCTGGGTCCAACAAGACCGTGAACAAGAGGGAAGCCAGGCAGCACATGAGGAGACCCAGGGCAGGGAGAGTGGCAGGGTAGCCCTGGCTGTGCTGTGGGGGCAGGACTCTGAGGAGGTGCATAGCACTGGACCTAAGGCCTGTGCCAGCAGGGAGGCTAGCTCTGAGACAGGACAGATGAAGTCATGCCCCAGCTAGTGAGCTTCTGTAAGTAACACACAGACCCACACAAGGCCAGGTTGGTCCACTCAAGCATATGGTGCAGAACTGAAGTGCAATGTCCCTGTGTAGCTCAGCATTGGACCTCCTGGGACTGCACTGAGAAGGTCACGAGGTCAAGGACTGTGGTTCCACTTGTTCTGCATCAACAGGACCACCAAAGGTCATCAGGGGTCATGATGCTCTCAGCACCGTGCCCAGCGGAAGAAGCCAGTCCAAGCCTGTGGAGTGGGGAGGAGAGGGCAGTTGGCCTGGCCCAGGTAGAGGGAGGCACCAGGCCCCTTAGTAGCAGCAGTGGCTTCCGAGGCCTGGGACAGGGCGACTCTCCTGTGGCAACACTCTACCAGAGAAATCCAAGTAACCGGACCAAGGCCACAGAGCTGGCCAGAGGCAGAGATGGGACCCACCCTCAATAACAATGTTCCAGGCCATTACCAGGGACAAGGGCCTCTTGCCTGCCCAAGGAGCTGCCATAAGGGGTGAGGTAACAATGACCTCGTGTAAAGCCGCAGAGCAAAGGAGGTTCCCTTCTGTCCCTCAGCAAATGCTCATTACGTCTCAAGTGCTGTCCAGCACTGGCAGAGCATGGGCTCCAGGGGGAACAGATAAAAACTGGTCACCATGTACACAGGTGGGGGACAGACACAACCAGTCACCATGCACACAGGTTAAGAGTGAGGGAACCGGGCAGGGACAGAGAGATGGGGGGAGACCAGTGAAGGTGCCTGACAAGAAGGGGGAGCCGCCTGTGACATCCTGAGGCAGGTGGATGGGCAGGGCCGTGTATCTGAGGGACGGCAGTGGCTGAACAGGGGATGGAGGGAAGGGAAGTGAGCAGGAGACACACTAGGTCCCACAGACTCTCAGGGGTCACAGTGAAGACCTGGGTGCTCTTGGGGGAACGGGAAGCCACAGGAAGGCCTGAGCCCAAGGATGCCATGAGTGGAGGCTCAGGTGGGCCCTCAGACTGTGGGAAGGACTGCATGACCAGGGAGCACAAGAAGGCAGGCAGGGGCCATGTGGAAGTGGGAAGCCAGGGCCCAGGGATATGCAGGTAGCCTGGGTGGGGTGTGGGAGCATGGTTGGAGGGGGCCTGGGTTCCCACCTGAGCAACAGGCAGAGCAGAGCCACATGTCCCAAAACAGGGCAGATGGTGAGGAGCAGGTCTTGTGGCCTGCGAGGAGAAAGCACAAGTCAGGGCATTTTAGGTTTGAGATGCTTCTCAGACGTTCAAAGGAAATTCTGAACAAAGGACTGCAAGCCAGAAATACAAACTCAGTAATCATCCAGCTAAGGTTAGCATGTGCAGAGAAGGTTAGCATCTGGGTCCCCAAGACAGGCCCAAGTTCCAACTCCCAGGCCCTGAAAATGGTACCTTATTCAGAAATAGGGTCTTTATACCTGTGATTGTGTGAAGGATCTTGAGTTGAGATTATCCTGGACTTAGGGGAGGCCCTCAATATAACGACTGGTGTCTTTTAAGATGGGGAGGGGGCTGGGCTGGAGACACCCAGAGGGGAAGGCCACATGAAGAGCAGGAAGGACCTCCCATGGAGCCTTTGGAGGGTGCATGACCCAGCCAAAACCAGGACTTCAGGTTCTGGCAACCAAAACTGCAAGAGAACATGTTTCTGCTCTTTCATCCACCCAGGTAGTGGGGCTTTGTTACAGCAGCCCAGGACACCCAGACAGCAGGCAAAACCACAAGAGTGGGAGAGGCCACCCAGCAAGACAGAGGAGGTGGGCCACAGAGAGTTGGGGTCAGGAGGTCTGGAGGACCTGCACAGCATGAGGAACAGCAGCCAGCGGGACAAGAGAAGAGAAAGTGGGGCCACAGATGCTGCAGAGGAGGTGGGCCCAGGAGGGAGTCAGCCACATTACTGCAGGGGGGCACGTGGCCACCATGACCTGCAGGGCATCTGTGCAGTGGGGAGTGGGACTGGAGAGAAGGGAGGACTCAGAAACCCCACTGCTAGGAAGTGACCTCGTGCAGTCATCACAGAGCTGCCCTCTCTGCCCCGGCACCCCTATCTTGAGCACCAATCACCCCCTAATGGTCTCGGCCTTGATCAAACCACCCTCCCTGTGCACCCAAAGCTGCCTTCATCCTGGCACTGTAGCCCACGCCTTGATCACATGGGAGCTCATGGGGCCCTCCAGTCTTACCTCCCACCCTCCATTCTCCACCTTTTGAAAATGCAAATCTGGTCAAACCACCTTGCAGACAAGCTCCCTGCCAGCCTTCCCCACTCCAAGTCATGTCACCATGTCAGGGGGGTTGTGTTCCACCCAGCCTGGTACTCCCCAGATGGCAGTTTTACCCAAACTCTGGCCTCTGGGTGCACAACCAGCCCTGAATGCACGACATCACCCACACCACCTTCCTCAGTCTTCCAGGGGCTCGCCCCCACCCAGGTGTGTGCCTCTTCTCATGTGCATCCCATCCTCAGCCCTGAGAGGCATCTCGATGACTTGTTTCCACTATGTGTTCCTAAGGGCCAGGAGCCCCATCCTGCTGCATCCCCAACAACCAGCATAGTATCTGATCACAACATGAAGGCATGAGTGTACGGGAAAGGCTCCTAAGCTTGCCTGCAGCTCACCTTCGACATCTGCATTCCGGACACATGATTCACACCAGCGTTGCTTGCTCCGACACCCGCAGCTTGTTGCACTCTGACCATTTCAAATTTCTATCATTTATTTTTGTGGCTGTTGCAATGAAGGCTCCAGAGGCCAGCACTGTGTCTGGGCCAACCCCTGCCTGCAGAAAGCAGGGCAGTCCTGGCTCCCAGTGCCCATCCAACAGTCACTGGAGAGCAGGAGAGGCTTTTCAAGGTGACCCAAGTCCTTAGTCTCTTCACCAATCAATCAATCAATCAATCAGTGGTGAAAGGCATGTTCTCTCAGGGACCATGGTGGGGACAGCAGGGAAGGGCCTGAGCAGGGAAAAGTACATCTGTTTGGGGGCATCTTCCACACATGCCTGTCAGATAGCCCCACACGAAGGCAGCAAGGAGGCATGAGCCCCACCTCACAGGAGGCAACCACGGCGGGAGGCTCCCCAGGAAACGATGGGGAGCTCAGGGTCACAAGGAGACTCAGAGCTGTACAACGAGAGATGGAGGTTTCTCTCCATCAGATGTCAGAAAGTCTGACAGAAAAGAAATATTCAATGAAATCGTCATTCAAAAGACAGCTAAAGAAAAAGACGACTCTCCCTTCTGTGGACAAGGTCCCTCCCTGACAAGCCACGAGCTTCCTCTGTTAACTTTGATGGAACCCTCTGGGATACGGCCCCACACTACCTCTGCCTCTACAGAGGACAGTTCTACGTCAGTCACGCCAGCCCAGAATTAGCACTGTCAGAAGGAGGCTGCCGCTCCTCCAGTGCCGCTTTGGAACTCGCACTGGCCATTTTAAGTAGTGAGGCTATATTCCAAACAGCGCTGTAACTCACTCACACGTGTGGCAAACGCCCTGGAGAAGTCCAGAGGAAGCAGACAGAGCCCCAGCAGGGGAGAGGACTTGCCCAGCCCTGGGTGGGCATGGGCTGGGCCGCCTATGTGCTCTGGGGCGGTGCTGCGGGGCACAGTTCCCCTGGAGGCCAGCCCTGGAAGCTCGGGCCGCGGCCACACCCGGGGAGCGCCCGTCCCGACTCAAAGCTCGTGCGGGGCTGTGACCGGTATGGCGAACCCTCTGCTGGACCACGAGGACACTGCCTGCGACTGGGAGAGAGCTTCCAGAGGCAGCCACAGGCCTCTTTCCACACAATCCGCTATGACTTTCAGCCAGCATCTTTAGAACACTTCTTGTGAAGGAGAACTTCAGGTTGGCAAAGGAGATGAAGTCACAATTACACTGCCACATATTCCGGGGCCCACACCACCAATGACTGTGTTCAAGGGGAGTAAGCGGCCTTACCAGAAAGACTGTGATTATTAATCATGACATTGGTGAATACGTGCTGGGAAAAGTCAGTAGCAGCATTCAGGTCAAGAAAACAAGAGCTGAGGGAAGCAGCAAAATCCAAGCCCGCGGGAACAGCAGCCAGCTCGTCCTCCACAGCCGTCCCAGCTGCCACTGCCTCCTCCACTGGTGACATTTAGAGCTCCAATGAAGCCTCCAACTGGACCCAAACCTTCATCCAAAAAAGACAACCCCTCTCCTGAACTGCAGCTCGATGACATTAAAAGAGAGCTGAGGGCTGAAGTCGACATCATAGAGCAGATGAGCAGCAGTAACAGCAGCTCCTCAGACTCCGAGAGCTCCTTGGGAAGGCGTGACGACAGCTCCAGCCGATGGGGCGAGGACGGGGCCCTGCGTCTCCCCTGCAGCCTTCATACCAGCAGCCCGGCAGCAGCTGGCCAGAGGAGCAAGTACCCATGAACACCCTCAGAAATGACTTGCAGATGAGTGAGTTTGGCAGTGACAGTGACGACTAGCACCGGAACTTCCAGAATCAACTTCTGGGTGCACAAATACACTGAAAAATTGGGCTCCTTTAGCATTGAGTCCATCGCCGAGAGGAAATGTGAATCAGTGACTGCAGTAGGAGTTTGAGGCTCTCAAACTCCCAGATATTCAAGTCTTTAACTTAGTGCTGATGGGTGATTTTCTCATGTAATTTTTTAATGATCCCATGTTTCAAAGTATAAGTAGATTTATAGAAGAACTAACAGAATTACATTTCTATTTAAGTAACATTGTTAATGAAAAACAGGCAAATATGCCATGGTTGAGGTTACTCAAAAGCCGTATCTTCACCAGGCCAGTGATCCAGTTTTAAACCGCAGCAGTCACCAGTTTAGCCAAGTGATATGCACCAGTGAAATAAAACACAGTCTTTGAGGGGTTGTGGAGAGAGGGGAACCTCAAACTGCAGCACAGAAGTATGATAAACCCATTTCAGCTGTTGACACAAAGTGGAAAGGAAATATTGTTGGGCCCAGCCTGACACTGACAAGCCTATGCAGAAACGGACTTCAAGATGGAGTCCTAGAGTGTCAGCTGGGCAGGACAGTGGAGCTCTGCTAGTTCAACCCCTGTGTTTATAGATAAGGAAGAGAAGCACACAGCTGCTTTATGACCAGTTTCCTGCTTCCCAGTCCAGGCTTTTCCCACTGTTCCCTCCTTTGAATCTCAATTGTTGGATCAGGACTTACACATGGACTTAACAGCTGTACATTGCAGCTTTTGTTGGAATCCAAAAGAAAATGTGTACTTTGAGGATTTTCTCAAGATAGTGGCATGAATAAGGCGGCAGAAATCTCCTCCCAAAACCATATATATTTTGGAAAATACAGCAAATACAACTATTCCTAAAAGAGAGACCAGAAGATACAGTACAACAGCCAGGCCACATCTACATCTGTGAGAACTCAGCATCTCACAAAAAGGGTAAGATACAAAGCGGCAACCCAGCAGGACCCAAGCACTCTCCGCACCCCAGCTCACAGGCGGAAGGAAAAGAATCAGAGTGGGGAGGAAGTGGAAGCACAGGACTGCTAAGTAACCAGCCCTAGTAATCTGCACTGAAAGCACAGACACACATTGCATGGTGTACTGAATATTAGAGAAACGGAAAAGTAAAATCTGATACTGAGACTGAGACTGCAAACAGGAATCAGCCAGCTGCCCTGGGACAAAATAAAAGCGGGCGCTTTAAAAGTCTGAAAGGCACAAGGGTTTAAAAGGTGGACAAAATCTTCCCGGCACACTCAGCCCAGCAGGCTGGGAATTTTAAGGAACTTCAGGCGCCCTAACCCCTGGGTGGCAACACAGCTCGGAAGCCCCTCACGGCAATAAGCAGCCTGCCGTTACCCGCCACCGGCACCACAAGCAAACCAGCTGATCCTCCATTGCTGTGGACCAGCCGGGAAGAAGCACTGCCCACAGCAACCACACAGAGTCTTCTCCCAGCACACAGCTAACCAAGCCAGACCCAGAGGATGCCCCCTGCGCACAGCTGCCTGGCACAGGGAGAGGAAGCCGGCACAAAGTCCGGAAGACATGAAGGGGCACCATTATAGCAGAAGAACATACACCATGCCTGCAAAACCCAGCAGTGCGCTAGGCTATCCCGAAGGCCGCCACACCCATGGCAGCTTAGGGGATTAACCCAGAGAATGCTCCCTGTATGCGGTTAACGGGCACAGTCAGTGGAGAAGGGCA